TTTAACAACACTGATATATATATATAAATGGTGGCTATTTATAAAGTAATTTTAATAATCATATTTCATAGAATATGTCATATCTAAATTTTAATTAAAATAAGGCAATATCTGTTATCTATTTTGTAATTGCAGATTAAGTTTAATAACTTTATTTAAATTGATAATAGTATATAAAAATAATATTGATTAAATATGCAATAAAAATGGCGCCTATTTACTAAGTAATAAATCAAATATTTCCTTGTGTTAACTATTTTATAATTGTAAATTTAGTTTAAATAGTTTTATTTAATTTTAAATCATTTGTTAAAAAATAAAACATAGATTAAAATTAAAGATTTATTAGCGGAATATCAAATTTAATGATAAGGGAAATTCTGTATAATATGTGATGTAGTTTTATCACGGAATCATAATAGCAAATTAGAGAGATACATTAAGAAAAATCACTCGAAACAATTTATACAATATTTATAAAAAACGAAAATTAGACACTTCTACTACTACCAAATCGGATGCAAAAGAACATATTTTAGTAAAATTGAAAAATATTGTACAAATAAATCTGTTCATATTATGATGTAGAAGAAGATCTGACAAATGCTTAGGTTGAAATGGTGACCGTTAAGGGCCGCCCTTTTTCAATCATTGAAGACTAAGTGTTTAAAAAAATAATTTACCTTATTACTAAAGCCCTGGGTGTGGCAAATATTTTAAAATTAGAGAATTGATTACAGGTGAGTCTAAAAAAGTAGTGAGAAAAATTAAAAGATACAAAAAATGAATCTTTTTAAAAATTGATTATGCTAAACGATTGGATAAAAACATTCTGGGAATAATATTCAATCTGTTCGAAGATTATCTTATTAAGAAATTTGGCTTAATAAGAAATTAAATAAATAGTTCCGGGAGATAATAATTTTAGAGACCATGAATAAATTCGACATTCTATTAAATAACTTGTATACTAGCAACCAATAATGGTGCAAATTTAATCAAGGCTATAAGATAAATAAATAAGTCTGTTATAAAGGGAGAATTGGGATGAATATGATATGAATGTTTATAATAAATAAAGAAATGGCAGATCTAGACCAAATGTTGAAAGACTTGTATAACATTAGATTTCAACACACACATTACAGTTAGTCATTAATAATTCTTTAAAGACTAGTTATGCAAAATCGATTATTGACCTATCAAGGTATGTGGTAATTTTTAAGAAGTCCATTATTGTCAAAATCTTGAAATCACTGGAAAAAACCTATGACAATTTAATTTACAAGATAGCCATCTGTTACGAGCTGGATCATTTGTTAGAATTGGAAGATATTTGTTGGAATTTGTTACAACATCGGAAGTTATAATAGAGGAAATACAATTGGATTCAATAGTTAACATAACTGAAGTTTTGATACTACTTCATTTGATAACCTTAAGACTACAATCCAAATATGCCTCTCCGATTTTTATGAAATTTGGATAAAATACCGTTTAGAATTGGAAAAATAGACAATACTTTTCCAAATGAGATATTAGAGCATATGAGATTTAGAGAGGCATTTAACGGAATTATGGGAAAAAAGTAAATTATTGAATGCCTAAAAATTTAAGCCACAAATGATCTTGATGATAATGATGATTTTGAAAAATTGATATTAGAAAAATAAAAAGAAATCAGTGTTGTTAATTGGTTGGTTGTGTAAAACCCAGACCCGGGGTTTGGGTCTAAATAATCGACCAAACCAGCTCTAAGCACGAACCCCGAGCACAGACCCAGGGTCCAGACCCGGAGTTCAGACCCACCTATGAATTACACCTGGGGCTCGGATAAATGAAAAGTAAAAAAAAATTTCATTTTCTAATCTTAAATTAAATCTTATTCTATCTTATTCATTCTAAATTAATAAAGCTTTTTTTTTATTCTCATTTTCTTACCATTTTTGGGGACTTTCTTTTGATCAAAAATTTTTATAGTAAAATAAAAATATCAGTAAATATTCAAAAAGAGTGACCCATGCATGACAGAAAAAAAATAAAAAAGTAAAATTTTATTTTAACACATAATGATATTGTAATTAAATGTGGACCAATATAAAAATTCAACGTCATTCATGCATGTATAAATAATAAAAAGAAATGTAAATTTATAATTTGTGATGAAATGGCCAATAAAAAGTTTTTCTTTATTATATTAAAGTTATATTCCCAATATTATATATGTCATAATTTTTAAAGGGATGTCAACTTATCCAGGATCACCACAGGTTTTAAAGGTATAACTAATAAATTTGGGTTTTAAGTAGGTGTGTGCCGATATCACTTTTTGGAGGCCTATCCGATCCGATATTTCCGATATTAAATTGATATCGACCGATTACCGATCCGATATCATATCTAATTTTTATGTCATTTATTTAAATATATTATAATGATCAATTATAGTTTATATTCAATTCTATTGCAATTCTAAAAGTATATAAAATATTTTTATTGTTAAATAACTTTTATATAAGTAATAAGTAACATTAATCTATATATATAATAAATAATGAACAAATATATTATGAAATTTGAATAAATATTTTAAACAATATTTAACATTAATAAATCGAAGATTTCTTATTAGAAATACCAAAATTTACTTATTTATCAGAAATCAGTTTACGTTTACGGCGATGTTAACTGTCAAGTCAATATCACCAAATTCACTAAAAACAGATTCTGAAGAGATTATAGCACACTTTTATAAACAGAATGCGCAAAAAAATAACAATATGGCAGAATGTTTATTAATTAATTATTAATATTAAAAAAATATGTTGACGATTTTATCAAAAATAAAACCCCTTTTCAGATATAAAAATTTTTATTGCAAAAATAAAATAAAATTTACTATTAAAAACTTGAAAGAAATTGTTGAAAAAATTTTTGTTATTTTTTAAAAACTTCCTGTAATTTAACTTAAATAATTATTTTTCAAAGCGATCTTCAAACCAAATAACAAAACAAGATCCATATAATTGAGGCAATTACTAGTTTTTTGATTAATATATTTCACAGCCTCTTTAACTCACATACGAATTGATATATCGAAAAGGAAATTCGATCTTATATCATACATATCTTTGAAGTTTGAAAAACTAATTTAATAGATAATTAGTAATTACTAATTATCTGATCTCATTTTTAGATTTTATTTTCTGTTTCAGTTTTAATATGGTTATAATTATATTATACATAATAAGAAAAACGATGACGATGATGATGATATTTACGAATACGAATAAAATTATAATTGAAAACTGTGTTTTTGAAATTTTTTTGAAAAACTTCCTTTTCTTCCCAAATCTAAAAAAATGGAAATTAATTTTCATCAAATTTATAATTATAACTGTTTCCATCGAGAATGTTGACGGAAATATTTTTAAATAGATTTAAATTAATCAATTTTATGTTGAATTTTTTATGTAAAATAAAAATATTTTATTATATTTATAGAAACTAGAGACGCTAAGCCACTCGTTAATATCAATCACATCTTTATTTTAGATTTTAAAATCATGAAGAAATATATAATTTACATTTTTTATCATATAAGAAAATAGCGGATTTTATTAAAAAAATTAGCTACAGATACTTAATTTTATTATTAAAAACCCAAATAAAAATTATATTTTTATTAAATATTCATACTCTAGTTGATGAAATTAAATAAATCCGGTCAGAAAGTTCGTATCTAATTCTGAACTAAGATCAGGATGGTATAGAAATAATCTTTAAGCAAATCTACATAATAATTCATTTTAATTATTTCCAAGCCCTAAGTAAGTGGCCCCGATTAAAAAAATTTTAGTCATAAGCTGAGTTGCTTGCAGGATTTTCCTATTTAAGTTCGATATTATTGATAAATAATTTTTAATTAAAATATTTTAAACAACATTATTTATGGGGTTCGAGTTAATGCTGGCTTATTTCTTATATAAATATTGCTAATGTAGATCGCAGTGATTTTATTAGACCCAAACCTCGGGTTTGGGATTTACACAACCAATTAAACAACACTACCCATATCGATATTTTGTGTTAATAAAAATATACCTGACCCCCTAAGACCTATACCCGCCCTCTATCAGTGATTATTATTATTACAATAAAAAAATATTTAATTATCAACTTGTTTATTAAATCGTTACACGACACGACCCCGGGTCTGGACCCATGGTCGGCCTGAGCACATAAAAGGGTCGTAAATTTTACGACCAAGCAAATTAACAACACTATCAGGGTGAACATCTGTTCACTCAATTTGCTCATTATTAGAAATATTTAGACATTTGGGGAGAGGATAGTTTAATTTAGCCATAATTATACAAGTTGGCGAAAATTATCCTAGGTGTCCCTGTAACACAAGTACATTATTAATATCATAATAAACTTAATTAATTACTATGTTACCGTTGAACGATTGTTCTCATCATTAAAATATATATATTGTGGGCCCATGTGGAAATTTCATTGATGATATTTTTAGAAGATATATGATAATTCTCCTAAATAAAATTTTTCAAATATAGAAATATAATAATATTTTTTTAAATTGTGTTATATTATATATTTTATAATTAAGATGATAAATTATTTTTATGGTCAATAATTACAAATAAAATAAATTTTAAAAAAATGACTTTCTCTATTTTAACGATATTTTATAAGTTAGTATTTTTCTGAACTCGAGCCGGGCTCAGAGATTTTTTACTGAACCTGAATCCTATTTTTGGAAGGTTTCACAGCCCTGGTTTAAAATAATTTAAATTTGAAAAATTTAACTAATTTTCTCCCTTTCTTTTTTATATTTGTAAAATGTATTGTCATTTTCTGATAATTTATTTATTTGAATTATAATTATAAAATAAACTAATTAAAAGAATATATATAATATAATGCGTACATAATGAATATTCATTAATTATATAAATATATGTTCATTTTTTTAGCAAATAACAAATTTGAGAGGAGAAGTGACCGATAATCCCATGAGCTGTACACACGTGATAATGGACTCTATCAAGCGCACCTTAAAATTTTTTTGCGCTCTTTCTCATTGTAGATATATAGTGACGTCCAAATGGGTGGAGGATAGTCATAATGCTGGATATTTCTTAGGTTAACCCTTATTTTATCAAAATAAATTTCCTGAAATCCTTTATGCATTTCACAGGTATGTCGTAATATTAAAATATTCTTACGATTTGAGAAAACAAAATTTTTTTTACTTTCTTCGCTTCTTGCCCATAATAATTGTCTGAAGTATTTAAAGGTTAAGGTCTAATTGGAGCAATTAAAATTCTAACTATCATGGCTTCTAATTTATCTATTTTTTTGCCGAAATATTTCCATGATTAGTCTATGTATATGGTGAATTCCATATCAAATCAACCAAGGTTCCAACCCGACCCCTTTCAATTTTTTTTAAATTTTGCATAATGGTAGTATATACTATAACTAAGAAAAAAATGAAATTTTACCTCCCAAAAAGGCTTACCCGCTAAGATATGGGCGTTTAAAGCGCGGAAAAATGGTACATTTTTGACAAAAAGTGCCTCATTTATTTTCAAATATCTCGAGAAATAATTAAGTTAGAAAAATAATTTAAATTTTATTATGTAGCTTAATAATAGTTCTTTAATATGACATAAAAATAAATATGATGAATGTCCAAAACCGGAAATGGCCATAGAAAAAAAAGGTATTTTTTTTTCTGTAGATACATATAACACTGCTTTATATTTGTGCCAAATCCTAGCCTGGGATGAAAAAGGGTCTGGGAGTTATGACTCTTTATATGGCTTAAATTGATCAAAAATATCTTCATTTAATGAATACTAATGAAATAATGTTTATTTAAAAATTATGTCTAAATGATATGCCCTTACTTTTTTTTATTTATTAGCATAAAACAATCTATCATAATTAAAATTCAACAAGTCATCATATTTAATTGATAAATTCACATTCATATTGTAGTTTTCGTAACCCCTAATGTGTAAGCTCTATAACTTTTACTTCATCTTAGAATCATAATTACAATTTTCATTTATATTAAAGAAAAATGAATTCTCCGAATCGAAAATAGTATTCTTAAACGGAAAAAATAATAAAATTATTATATTATTGGGAAAAAGAAACTAAATTATTATAAACTAAAAAAATAATAAAATCATATTATATTATTGGGAAAAAGTGCAAGACCATGCACAGGGATTTCATTGGACAAATAATCAGTCCACTATTCACTCTTTTATCATTTATTATAGTCAGTACAACACTATAAAACATATAAGTTTAGTGGTGATATCAGATTGCTTAAAGCACAATGCCTGTGCCTTTTATTTATTCCAAACTAAAATGATCTTATTTTTAAAAGAAAGATTTGATACATTGACCAAAATTTATTATTTTTCTGATGGTAACCCAATATAAAAATTAAAAAAATTTCATAAATCTCTATAATCATGAATGTGATTTTGGTATAAAGGCCGAGTGGCATTTTTTTGCTACAGCTATGGAAAAAGTCCGTGCGACAGTTTAGGAGGTATTAAAAAACGGCTAGCAGCTCGAGCTAGTTTGCAACGGCCATATCAAAACCATATTTTGACACCAATGGATTTATTCGACTTTGCAACAAATAATATACATGGAGTAAATTACATTTTTGTAAGCAATAATGAATACAATAATATGGGAAATCATCTAGAAAGCAGATTTTTGAGAGCAAAACGAATTCCGGGAACACAAAAATACCATGCTTATATTCCCCTTGACGAAAATAAAATTAAAGTCAAAATTTATTCCAATTCGTTAGATAATTTAATATATGATATATTGTAAACATAATTATAAATTATTATATTATATGTAATTATGCATTTCAGAAAAATAAAGTTATAAATTGGTTTAGAATTATTTTGTCAAGTAATTTTCAGTCACAATATGTTAACAATTAAAAATAAAAAAAAGTTAGGGCCTACCATTTAGACATAATTTCTAAAAAAACATTTCATAAGTATTCATTAAATGAAGATATTTTTGATCAATTTAAGCCATATAAAGAGTCATAACTCCTAGACCCTTTTTCATCCCAGGCTAGGATTTGGCACAGATATAAAGCAGTGTTATATCTATCTATTTTTTCTATGGCCATTTCCGGTTTTATACATCCGGTTTTGGACATTCATCAAATTTATATCATATTTATTTTTATGTCATATTAAAGAACTATTATTAAGCTACATAATAAAATTTAAATTATTTTTCTAACTTAATTATTTCTCGAGATATTTGAAAATAAATGAGGCACATTTTGTCAAAAATGTACTATTTTTCCGCGCTTTAAACGCCCATATCTTGGCGAGTAAACCTTGTTGGGAGGTAAAATTTCATTTTTTTCTTAGTTATAGTATATACTACCATTATGCAAAATTTAAGAAAAATTGAAGGGGGTCGGGTTGAGAATCGACTTTTTTTGGTTGATTTGATATGGAATTCACCATATATATTATAAATATATGGTAGTATTATTTAAATTCTGATAATTCAAACAGTAAATGTTAAGAATAAAACATTTTTCGAAACATAAGTCATATCATTTACATATCTATATAAATATTTTTTAGAGAAAGAAATAAGTAAAGAAACCCTTAATATCATTTATTTTCGCTATGCCTGAGACGGGACATATATCGTGGCAAATAAATATAAATTTTCTAAAAAACATTACAGATGAAAGTGAGTACATATTGAAAGATATAGACGCCGAAAGAAGTTACGACTTCTGCCTCAAAACTAGTTTATATAGGGCTCAACATAGAGATTTGCTATTCAAAGTTAAAAATATATTATTTTTAAAACTAATTATCTTTATAAACTTTCTCATAGTCGAAGTTAGTAAAATTTAAAGGATGATAAATTAACGCTCAATATAGTTAGAAAACCCAATACCTTCGATAATGTAGGAATTAGTGTTGTTAATTAGTCGATTTCCATGACTACGATTAGCGACTAAATTAGTCTATTAGTCGACTAATTTATTTGACTAATTTAGTCGACTAAAAGGACTAGTATAGTCGTCTAAAACAAGTAATATAGTCGACGAAAACAACTAATTTCAGCATAGTCGACCCATTAGTCGACTAAATCAATTTTTTGAGCCTAACCGAACCTGAACACTGTATAGTCGGGTTTAGTCTATTTCTTCCGACTACTTGAGATATCAGAGAAGATAAACCATAGAAAAGTCACAAATCTCATATTCGTTATTTTTATTAATTTTTTGTTTTCTTAATTTTTTTGGATCAAATGGGTAAAAATATAAATTAAAATTTAAATTAGGATGTATCATAGAAAAGTGACAATTGTCATAATCGTTATTTTTTGAGTTATTTTAAAGTAAATAGGTAAAAATATGTTTTGTAACTGTCAAAAATATGACGAAACGAAATTCCAAAAATAAAAACAAAGAAATAGAATTGATAATCTAGAAAACTAAATAAAAGGGAAATAAATCTCAAATTAGATAATTAAAATCTCAATTCAGACAATTAAAATCTCAATTCAGACAATTAAAATCTCAATTCAGACAATTAAACACTCAAATAAAATAAGGTTCCTTTATTGATAATTTCAAATCAACATTAGAATCATATTTTCATAAAACAAAAAAATTGATAAGTCGTTTTATAAAAATTAATAATGTCCAAGAATGGTTTTTTGCAATTTCATAAAAAAATCAAATGATAAAAAAAAATCTCTAATTTTAAAATGACTGACATTTTAATTATATTAAAAAAATATATCTTATAAAATGATTGACATTTAACTACAAAAATATATCATTTATGACAGTAACCATGTTAAATTAAAATTTGAGTGAAGTTGTTCCATAGAAAAATTACAATTGTCATAATCGTTATTTTTGAACTTTTTTAAATTAAATAGGTAAAAATGTATATTGTAAACATGTTAAATAAAAATTTCAGTGAAGATGTACCATAGAAAAGTGACAATTGTCATATTGTTATCTTTTAATCTTTTTGAATTTTTTTAAATTGTAAAGATGTTAAAATAAAATTTCAGTGTAGAAAAGTGACAATTGCCATAATAGTTATTTTTGAACTTTTTTGAATTTATTTAAAGTAAATAGGTAAGCATATTGTAAAGATGTTAAAATAAAATTTGAGTGAAGTTGTACCATAGAAAAGTGACAATTGTATTTTTAAACTTTTTTGAATTTTTTCAAAGCAAATAGGTAAAAATATTTTATTAAGTTAAAATTTCAGTGAAGATATACCATAGAAAAGTGACAATTGTCATACATAATGGCTATTTTTGAATTTTTTCAAAGCAAATTGGTAAAATATTTATTGTAAACATGTTAAGTTAAAATTTCAGTTAAGATGTACCATAGAAAAGTGACAATTGTCATAATATTTATTTTTCAATTTTTTTGAATTTTTTGCTGAAACGAGCTGACTTTTATCCTACGCCCGTTTATCCTATTGGGTGAGCTAGCTAAATATTATTAAAAATTGCCAGCGCGGTTAAAAAATTCTTACTTTTATTTGTTATTTACAATTTATTTGGTAAACATTAAAAGTACAGATAACTGTTGTGGATGTTATATTTGGGAGAAGCTAATGAGATTAAAAAACTTCTTAGATTTCATTTGCCTGGAAGAATATAACATCAACATGAATAAAAATATGATTTCACCCGTTTTCCCAAAAGCAAAAAAAATTAAATTTTAAATGCAACGTTTGAAATAGGTAGCATCCACGTCAAGATTAAATCACAAGATAAGAGTAGATGAGGTTAATAGAAGAGAGCACACTTTTTAATTACATAACAAAACATTTAAATTTGAAAGTAAGGAGATTGATTTGTAAATCTGCAATTATACATATAAATAAATTTCCTGATTTGAAAACTATTTAAATAAAAAAAGATTAAGTTTTGTTAATTGGTTAGTTGTGTAACCCCCTGACCCTGGATTTGGGTCTAAATTAACTAAACCAGCTCTGATCACGAGCCCCGGGGAAAGACCCGGGGTTCACACCCTTAACATACATACCTCGTTTTCTTTAAAAATCAAAACAAATTTTTTCCTCTTTTAATAATTTTTTTACAAAAAAGGAAAAACATAGCCATTCATGGCACATTATCCCTATATTGTCAATATTATTTTTAATTTCATATAATAAAATATAACATTTTGAGATTTTATTTATTATTTTAATTTTGAAATATTTAAGGGCCTAACTGGCACCATTATTTTTTTGTTTTAATTCTATATATTTTTTGGTACGTTTATTTATTAATAAATTGAATTAAATTAAATGTGTCTTACTTGAATTTTTTTATCATAGAAGGATGCAGAATTTTTAGTTATTGTTATGTGAAATAAAATTTAAATAATTTTTATAGACTTTTCTTCATGCCCCGCCCATATAAAAAAATCTAAACCACACTCGCCCCCCATATAAAATTTAAATATGCCTATTTCGATTAATGCTATGAGAATTGAGGAAACAGTAAAATTATTGTGACTACTGATATGAGAACCTGATGAAACAGTTAACTAAACACAAATCATTACGCAAAACATTTTTTTATTCTTTTATTTTAAAATTTTCTCTTAAAAATATAATAATAATTTTCCCATTTTTTAAAAAATAAAATATATATGTAAAAAAATATATTTCTTTTTATAAAAACATTATATAATAATAATATTTTCGACAACATTATACATAAAAAATCAATATTCCCAAAAATAAACATAAAAAATATATAATGTTACAACACGCCCCCTTTTTAAAGGAACAAAAACCCGGGGCAAGAACGATACATTTTTCAAGTAATTATTTAAAAAAAACAATTGGTGTATAAAAATTCAATAAATAACTCACATATATTTTAAAAATTGTTTTTTATATTATTTTTCTTTTTGCATCGTTCATACACCCTTTTCTGGTCTTCAATGATAGCCATCGCAGTATTGTTACAGTTGAATCAAAGAGTTGATTATAACGTTGCTGTCCTCTTTTTTTCCACGCTCTTTGTAGTACTAGTCATAAATTAGTTGTTATCTTAATATTGCGTCGTTCATCTTTTACGTTTCGGACAGACGGTATTTGGTTTATGAATCCTAGCTTGATTAATCCATTGCATCATTGGTCAGTCATGATCATTCTATCTTAAGTTAGGTATCATCAATCTAGCATCATTATAGTTAATTGTTCAGAGTCATTGTAGTTGATTGGAAGAAATATTACAAAAAGTCAATCCAATTTTTTTTTCAATTTTTTTAATAAACTATAATCACTTCACTAAAAAATAACAATTTTATATTCTTTAATTTTTCAATGTTGATTACTTTAACCTACTATATACTTTTTTTTACTTTTACTAATTTTCAAAATTAATTACTTTTACTCAACACATTTTTTAACCTCTTTTATCTTCCGATATCCTAATTTTTATAATTTGTCAAAAAAACGAATTCTTCTACAATTCCCCAATCATAATTAATTATTTTTCCTTGAAACTCTAAATTCTATCTTTACAACCCTTTTTTATAAAAAAATATCTTTTACAACACATTTTCCTAAAATTTAAATCAATTCCATAATTTATCGCTTTTACTCAAAACATATTTCTTAACCTCTTTTCTTATTTCACAATTTATATTCTAATTATCTTCCAAAACGAATTCTACAAATTACCCCAAATTCCTATAATAAATCTTTTCACTTTTCCTTGAAATTCAATTTTAACCCCATTTTTATAAACCACTACGCAAAAACTTTCCTATTTCTTATTTTTTTTCTATTTCTCTTTTTTTTAAACTAATTAATTACTCCTTTCTTTTATTTTTAATTTAAAAAAATGAATTTACATTCTCTGTGCAATTATATTAACATTTACTTAACTCGTGTGTTTTCCCCTTTTTTAATATTTTATTACTAACCTTTTATACCATATACGTCTCAATTTAATCAATTATAATGTGCATAAATTGAGCGTTTCAAACGCTGCGTTGCAAACGCAACATTTAAATAAGTTCTTAAAAAAAGGATTTGTCTTTTGAAAATTATATTATCGTCGGCGTTCTTATTTCTTTAATTTCTAAATATTCCTTTTTAGGATATAAGTAAGATATTTATATTACATTTTATATAATATTGCACAGCGAATAATAATAAAAAGTAATGAAAAAGCAAACCTATTGCGTTTTTTAAAATGGTTGCTAACGCCAAACTGTAATTTTACCAATTTGCACGAGGTCATTTGAAATGCATTATTTGCGCTTGAAACGCTCAATTTGTGCGCATTATTACACTTTCCAACTTTCCTATAATATAATATGAAGTATTAACATGATAAATCAACATTTAACTCCGAAATACTTTGGTTTATCCTTTCCCATACAATTCTTCCTGTTTTCACACTTTTATTTCCTTTTTTTTTATATTTCAACTTATTCCTTATAACTCAGGAAATTACTATTTACATTTCCCTAAATATATATTTTCAAATTTTTCCTTTAATTCCTTTTCTTAACTATATTTTCATACCCTTCTTGTTCTCAATTACTTTCGATGCTTCTTAACCCCCTTATTATCCTCCACTCTCTTTTAAACAAATATCTACCTTATAATCTACGAAACAATCCAATTTTTCATCAAATTATATTTATTCTTTAAATCATCAATATCATTCCTTAATATAACCACATTCTTTTCTCCTTCCTCTACCACACTTTCACTTTTTAACTTTTTTTCTCACCAATTTCACAGGAAAATTATGATATATCGGTAATTTTTCT